AAACTGGTACCGTCTGCGTTCTTTGAGAAATTAGTGGTGAGATTTAACATGGAGTCTAATGGAGCAGTTGGTTGGAGTTCATGTCGCTCTGCGGCTCTTTGAGCCAAATGTGTAAGTCTGTTGGATTCCATAGACACTTTACTGCGACCAGCACAACATTTCCAAGCTTTTTGGCGAAAATGGTGTTTCAAGAGTAAAAATTGTGGGAGCTGGAGCAATTTGTTTGGAAAAATCACAGAAGATTTTCAAGCTCCGCTCCACTCTGACAGTTATGCTCTCACTCTAGCTGTTAACGAGCCGTGCAATACCCACCCATTATAAAATCTGAAACAGACACAAAATTTTCCTGAAACTTAATCTGCGACTTCATGAAAACTGTGCTAGCTATCAAAATGTCCCTTTGGCTCAATAAAGTGCAGCGTTTTGTCTACGTTTTAAACTTTGAATCATGTTTCTGCATTAATCTACGGCTAGTCAATATGGGCCCAAAGTTAAGTGTTTTTTTTAGCTCTCTTCACGCTGGAACCCCATTCAAGTGAATGGAGAAATTTTGCTCAGTTTTTGGGGATTTTCAGGAATTTTCGGGAAAACCGCTTGGCAAATCTCTCCGAAAAATAGATAGCACACTATTCCCGATCAGGCCGTACGTTTTGATGTATTTTTCACGCCGCTGTTGGCAACGCTGTGTGAGGAGAAGCGCGCCAAACTTCATTTTGCTCCGTTTTAACATTGGCGTGTGTATATATTGCGATTTCTTCGGGCAGTAGAAGCCACACTGTCAAAATTTCTTTAGGAATTTTCTAGTTCAGTGTGGCTTTGTGGCACAAGGCAGTAAAACTGCCTGTGCCAAAGCACACTGTATATTATCCAGCGGGCTTAATAATAATAATGAGCTTTATCCAAAAGTTTGGCGCGCCTTTCCTCACACAGCGTTGCCAACAGCGGCGTGAAAAATACATCAAAACGTGCGGCCTGATCGGGAATAGCGCGGAAACTATTTTTCGGAGAGATTCGCCAAGCGGTTTTCGCGAAAATCCCGGAAAACCCCGAAAAACTGAGCAAAATGAAGTTTGGCACGCTTCTCCTCACACAGCATTGCCAACAGTGCCGTGAAAAATACATCAAAACGTGCGGCCTGATCGGGAATAGTGTGCTATCTATTTTCCGGAGAGATTCGCGTAGCGGTTTTCCCGAAAATTCCCGAAAATCCCCAAAAACTGAGCAAAATTTCTCCATTGACTTGAATGGGGTTGCGGCGTGAAGAGAGCTAAAAAAACACTTAACTTTGGCTCCTTATTGACTAGCCGTACATTAACGTAGAAACATGATTCAAAGTTTAAAACGTAGACAAAACGCTGCACTTTATTGAGCCAAATGGACATTTTGATAGCTAGCACATTTTTCATGAAGTCGCAGATTAAGTTTCAGGAAAATTTTGTGTCTGTTTCAGATTTTATAATGGGTGTGTATTGCGCAGCTCGTTAAGAGCTAGAGTGAGAGCATAACTGTCAGAGTGGAGCGGAGCAGGAAAATATTCTGTGATTTTTCCAAACAAATTGCTCTAGCTCCCACAATTTTTACTCTATATACACCATTTTTGGCCAAAAAGCTTGGAAATGTGCTGTCGCACACAGATGTCTGTGGAATCCAACGGACTTACGCATTTGGCTCAAAGAGCCACAGAGCGACATGAACTCCAACCAACTGCTCAATTAGACTCCATGTTAAATCTGACCACTCATTTCTCAAAGAAAGCAGACGGTACCAGTTTTGCATATTGCGCTTGAGCTCACATTTTTAACACCACAAACATAAAAAACACATCTCCGCGTTTGCCAGAGTTTTATCCCTCTCATGGTATCCATATTTTATTGATTAGTCTCATGGTTTTGGTATAAAGGGCATATGTTTGACAGGTAGTTTTGTTGAAAATCACTGTTCACTCTCTCTCTTAATTAGCCTCTAACACACAGGTGCTCCAATCACCAACATGCACCCAAGCACACAGGTGTTTATATGAGCTCATTAGTGATGTTGATAAACACACAGAGGCACTGAGACACATACGCACATACAGTCCTCTCCCTCTATCTCTCTGTCTGTCTCTCTCTCTCTGTGTGTGTCTCTCTCTCATACAGTCATTCAGGTCTTGGAGACTTTTAGAGGACTTCCCCCCCCATTTTAAAATAAAAGCCGCACACACATGATTTAGAGATATACGTGATGCAGCTCAGCCAATCAAATATGGGTATTCTGATAAGTTTCCTGATTCGAGTGACATTTACACACACAAGAGGGAGAGACGAGGACAGACATGGCAGAGCAGGACAATAGTTATGTAAGCTGTAAAAGATAAAACATAGGACAATCTCCAAATGAGAAAGATTGCCAGAGAGATCAGTCTCTCTCTCTCTCTCTCTCTCTCTCTCTCTCTCTCTCTCTCTCTCTCTCTCTCTCTCTGTCTATCTTTCTGTCTCTCTCCCTCTGTGTCTCTCTCTATCATACAGTCATTCAGGTCTTAGATATTTTTAGAGGACTTTTCCCCTCTCACCCCCCACCCCATTTCAAATTAAAAGCCCCACAGAATGAATTCTAACTGGAATGCTTGTGATGAAGCCTCTCATTTTAGTGTCAAACATTATGATTCTGTCTCCTCTCCCCCTCTCTCAGCCACCCAGTCCCACCCTTTCAAAATAAAAGCCCCACAAATACAAGATTCAATCCAAGAGTATGAATCTAAAATGCAGAAAAGAGAGTAGCGCTATCTCAATTGAACTTGAATGACACTACCGGTAACATTGGCGTGTGTATATATTGCGATTTCTTCGGGCAGTAGAAGCCACACTGTCAAAATTTCTTTAGGAATTTTCTAGTTCAGTGTGCCAAAGCACACTGTATATTATCCATCGGGCTTAATCATAATATTATTCAGGTTTATCCAAAAGTTTGGCACGCTTCTCCTCACACAGCATTGCCAACAGTGCCGTGACAAATACATCAAAACGTGCGGCCTGATCGGGAATAGTGTGCAATCTATTTTTCGGAGAGATTCGCCCAGCGGTTTTCCCGAAAATCCCGGAAAACCCCGAAAAACGGAGCAAAATGAAGTTTGGCGCGCTTCTCCTCACGCAGCGTTGCCAACAGCGGCGTGAAAAATAGATCAAAACGTGCGGCCTGATCGGGAATAGTGTGCTATCTATTTTTCGGAGAGATTCGCCAAGCGGTTTCCCTGAAAATTCCCGAAAATCCCCAAAAACTGAGCAAAATTTCTCCATTCACTTGAATGGGGTTTCGGCATGAAGAGAGCTAAAAAAACACTTAACTTTAGGCCCATATTGACTAGCCATACATTAACGCAGAAACATGATTCAAAGTTTAAAACGTAGACAAAATGCTGCACTTTATTGAGCCAAATGGACATTTTGATAGCTAGCACAGTTTTCATGAAGTCACAGATTAAGTTTCAGGAAAATTTTGTGTCTGTTTCAGATTTTATAATGGGTGTGTATTGCATGGCTCGTTAAGAGCTAGAGTGAGAGCATAACTGTCAGTGGAGCGGAGCTTGAAAATCCTCTGTGATTTTTCCAAACAAATTGCTCCAGCTCCCACAATTTTTACTCTTGAAACACCATTTTCGCCAAAAAGCTTGGAAATGTTGTGCTGGTCGCAGTAAAGTGTCTATGGAATCCAACGGACTTACACATTTGGCTCAAAGAGCGACAGAGCGACATGAACTCCAACCAACTGCTCCATTAGACTCTCTCTAGAAATCTCACTACTCATTTCTCAAAGAAAGCAGACGGTACCAGTTTTGTCTATTGCTCTGGAGCTCACATTTTTAACACCACAAATATAAAAACCACATCAGCGCGTTTGGCAGAGTCTTATCTTTCTCACGGTATCCATATTTTGGCACTCAGACTTTTTGTTAAAAGGAGGAAGGGGTTTTGTTCAAAATCACTGTTTACTGTAAAGTTTCGTAATCAGTCTGTCTCTAACACCAGGTGCTTCCTCACCATGGCAACCAGTTACACTCTCCCTCTCTCTCTCTGTCATACAGTCATTCAGGTCTTAAATATTTTTAGAGAACCCCCCTCCTCCCATTTCAAAATAAAAGCCCCAGAGTGGGAATTCTAACTGGAATGCTTGTGATGAAGCCTGTCATTTAATAACCTCTGTTTGTGTGTCAAACATTATGAATATGGCTCCTCTCCCCCACCCAGTCCCACCCTTTCAAAATAAAAGCCCCATAGAGTAACTGTATCTTAACATGAAGCTCAGAATGAGGCTTGTACAGAAATGACGGGAGCGTCAGCTCCCATAATTTCCAAAGGGTTCTCAAACAAAGATGTTTATGTCCAGTACAGAAATGACGGGAGCCATTTGTGGACTGTCCATCACGAATACAAGATTAAATCCAAGAGTATGAATCTAAAATGCAGAAAAGAGAGAAGCAATATATCAATCAAACCTCAACGATACTGCCGGTAACATCAGCGTGTGTAGCTATATATTGCGACGTCTTCGGGCAGTAGAAGCCACACTGTCAAAATTTCTTTAGGAATTTTCTAGTTGTTTTTGTCATATCGCGCGTGTACAATATTGGTTCCCAAGGCCAAAGGCAATCAGAAATTGGGGTATAATTTATACCCCAGGCTGTATTTGTCAGTAAAATATGTTGAACTACTTTATGGTAGGAAACACATGCTTTTCTTCTCATGTACAGCTACAACTGTTAGAGTGAGAAAATATGTTCCTCCTTCAGTTATACCAAGAAGAACGTCTTTCTGTAAGGAGAACCAGCCACTGTGATAGGAAGAAAGAAAAATAATTGGAAAGTGACCCTTTTTATGACGATAATATAACAATATCAAATCATCCACATTGCATCTTTAATACAAGCAACATTCTGGAATAGTTGCCTGGAGGAGGGTGCAGAAGATGGATAGCTGAATTGAGGTGTTTGATGAACTATGTCTCTCTCTGTCTTTCATTTACAGGAAGGGGGGAGGAGGTTTCAAGAGGCCATAGCCAGGAAGAAGATCAGACTGGACAGGTAATCTATCAGTCTATTGCTGTGAAGAGCACATACTTTCTTAGCTTTTAATTCCACTTCTGTGTGTCAGAAGTGATGCAGTTTGTACGATATATTCACTTCACTCACTACTAGGGGTGCAACGGATCACAAACCTCACGGTTCGGTTCGGATCACGGTTCTTGAGTCAAGGTTCGGATCAACAAAGTAAAGGGGAGGAGACAAATATAACTTTGCTTTCCATTTATTAATTAAAGAACTTCAAGAACACTTAAAGAAAAGAACTTTGGGCTATAGTCTTGCATAAAAACAAAAATATTGAAGATGTCCAATTTGAAACAAAATTAAATAAATAAATAAAAAATTCAAATATACTCAATTCTGTTAAGTTTAAGTGCAACATGAGGTATGTTGATACCCTCGTCCTTTGATCAATATTGAAAGAAAGAAACAGCCTGTGAGCTAGCTTCCACTGTTTCAACTGAACTGAACTGCTCGGCAACACCTTGGGTCTATGTTTACTTCCTGTCAGGTTATGTCATTCAAATACACACTAATGTTTACCATTACTGTGACATTATTTTCAAAAATATGAGAATATCTCCATTGTCTGGAGTGAGGGTAGACCTTTCTGTGGTGACTGGGATATTACTATTGGGCGTGTCTAGCTTCCACTCTACTGCTTCTGTCAGCACCTGCCCCAGGTGTGTCTGTGTGACTCTCACAGAGTGGCTCAAGCATTTTAACCAGATTTTGAAATCCTTTGTTTTCCACACCGGAGTGTCCCCCGTCGCTGACAGACGGGATGGTCTCTTCATATGTGTGGACATGCCGATGTATTGCCGTTGTCGTGTGTCTTTCTCTTTAAATATTTCCTACATACCGTAACGGTTTCGTCCACCACCCTTATCCGTCATAAGTTACAGGGAAGACAAAATGCTCCCAAACTTGCGACTTAAATGATGCCCGGGGCTTCTCAAGTTCCTCCGCTCGCCATGACTTTCGCCGTTAAATGCTTTTAACCTGCTCCGTTCACGTGAACACACTACTGCTTTATATCTGTTCACTGACACTCTGCATTGATATTCGGGGACTTGTTACTTGAAAAGGAACAGCAGCAGTAGAACTTTATTACACACTGTGATGATTAAACTGTAAAAAAAATACTCAATTGATCCGTTACACCACTACTCACTACAAACAAGAGGGATTGAACTTTTCAGCAAAGAGCACAATCTACAGAAATGTCAACATGCAGTACAGTCCTCTACAGAGAGTAGAAATGTATTTCACACCTCCCTTCATGCTAAAGGCATGCATGAAACATGTCAACATTGGTCTACTAGTGGTCAGAAACGACATTCTGAGCCCATAGTAGACAGTGTCTCAGTAGATCTAGATAAATAGAGTTATCACCCAGTTGTGACATTACAGCACCATTGTCAAAAGTTCTTCTAATTGCTCTTGTTTTGTTGTTTCAGAAAGTACATCATTTCCCGCAAGCAGGGCGAGGTCCCTTTGTCTGTGCCCTGGGACCCCAGAAACCAGGTAAGAGAACCACCTAGTTAGGTTTAGGAAAAGATGGTGAAATACTTGGTTAGGTTTAGGAAAAGATGGTGAAATACTTGGTTAGGTTTAGGCAACAAAACCACTTAGTTAGGTTTAGGCAGTGGTGGGCCGTCAGGGCCAGCAAGGCCTTCTCTGCTGGCCTAAACAGAATTACAAAGTTATATCTATTTTATAATTTAATATTTTTTCTTAAATACACTACATGTATTATAATTTACAAAAATATTTTCCCCATTATCTTATTTTCTCATTGCACAGCTACTGTCTTCCTCAGTTGCTCTGCTTCCAGTGCAAGCTTGTTGTAAGTAGAGCTTTTATTCAATCAGATTTCACCTCTGTGTCTCTAGGTAAGAACAGAGGCCCGAGGCCTGCAGACTCACAAGTGCATCCATGTGCAGTTTAAGTGCATGGGGACGATATTGTTGATTGTCATAGTCTTCAACCAATCAGATCTTTAATTTGACATGTTGGGCGTATTCTTTGACGTGTCATAGCCATCTAGCTGGCCTACAAGTACGTCATCATTACGTGCAGCTCAGTTTTCAGGTGCAGCGCTGCAGCGTGTGCTGTGATTGGTCAGTGGGCGAGCACGTGACTATCGTGAAATGAAACTTAAAGAAGCTGGCAAAGCTTAGTCGGAGTAGTAAGAGTTCAAATTGAAAGATATGGAAGAAATTATGACATTTTTTGCATTTTGCTTGGTGTAGATTCTTTTCTTTTTTTACCGAGCTTTGTTTTTTTAACACTCAATGGCTGAAGGAGGAGAAACGGGATTTAACCGTGGGATTAAACTCTTTGCCAACAAAGAAAGGAGGATGGAGTTAGTCTTTAAAGTCAGGGGTCGGCAACTTTTACTATCCAAAGAGCCATTTTGCTCTATTTTCCACCAAATAAAATTTGTCTGGAGCTGCTATTTTCTATTTGATATCACAGCTTATAAAGTTTTACATATAGTTATATTATATATACAAAAACTATAGTTTGTTGTATTTATGAAGAAGAATAAAGACAATTTTTGACATTTTATTGCAATTTTACCTGTTAACAACAATATAACAATATCAAACTTTTATGAAGAGGAGAAAAAAACTTTCTCAGTTTGCTGCAGCAGTTGAGAAATCGCTCTTTTTCGCTCATCTACAGTGTGATACTTTTCAGCATGCTGTGTGCTTGTTCTGGAAGTGACTTTCAACATTACATTTTTTGCACATATCAAGCATACAGGTAAGCCAGCATCGTTGGCAGTCAAAGCAAATGAATATGTCCACGCAGAATTAACTCTCTATTTTCCTCCTTGACTTTTCCTTTTTTGGATTTATCCATTGATAGTTTACTGAGGGAGGGTCTGAAAATCATGATTAGCCACCTGCAGGGAAAGGCGCTTGACAGGCGTAATAGGATGTGTAGCACATTTTAGTTGACAAAATATGAAAACATTTTTATTTAAGGTCAGCTATTACTGACCGTGTTGTCTTTACTAGCAGCTGTTGTCCAGTTAAAGTTTGCATTTCTGCGGAGGAAGCAGCTGTTATTGGAGCGATTATTGAGCAGCGTGTCCAGCGGCGTTATCAGACCTACGGAGCGGCCGTCTCAAGTTACGTTAGCGGGTTTGAGCAACCAATCCACTTCCTGTTTACACCGGCACCCACCCGCATGCCCAGTGTACGTGAATAGTCAAGTGATATTCGATTTCAGGCGTTTAAGTCTGGAAGGAGATCATTTAGAAAACGATGCTGAAACGCCGTCTGGACGGAGATCGTTTAAAACGAAAACGTATTAGTGTCGATGTAGACTCAGGGAGCCGCAACAGAGGGGTTGAAGAGCCGCATGCGGCTCCGGAGCCACAGGTTGCCGACCCCTGCTTTAAGTGAACAGCATTTGGTAAGTCAACTGCGTTTGTTTTTACATCTGCAGTAGCTTTAATATGCTTGTTTATATATTATTATTTGTACAACTTGTTTTTATGAAGATGGATTTTTGTTTGGTTTTATATGTGATAGGAACTATTGTTATGTCCAATGTTGCTCTGGGGACATATTTACCCTGTGCCAGTATTGCCAACTTGGCGACTTTCTCGATAAATCTGGCGACTTTCCAAACCCTCATGGCGACTTTTTTTGTCAAAAGCTACCAGCGACAAATCTAGCGACTTTTTCTGGTGTTGTTGGAGACTTTTCTGGTGTTTTGACTCTGACCTGAAAGCACGTACGGTTCTGCACTGTCGTGAACGAGCAGCAGGTGCTGCCGTGAGCCGCCCCAAAGCACTCACAGGCGGACTCTCGCAGCAGCCCCAGCCTGCAGTCAGAGCAGAGAGGAGATGCAGTCTCGGCGTATTCTCTGCAGTTAGTGAATTTACAGGTGTTGGCTTCATTTTTACACAAAACAAATAATAACCGTAGCTGTGTTTCAGCTGCAGGACAGCAGTGAAGGCCCAGGTATAAAATGCACGGCCCGCCACTGGGTTTAGGAAAAGATCCGCGTTTGTATTAAAATAACCACAGAAGTGCCGTTACTAAAGAACGCAAGTTACATAACAAAAACATCAACATTGACATCTCATTTCACACGGGGAACGACTGACACCATCCTCCTTCTCCTCCCTCCCTACACACAGAAAAAAAAGGTTCTTAAATGGTTCTTTAAAAGGCAGTGTGGTTCCACGAAGAACCATCCCCTACTGAAGAACCATTTTATCTATTGGATGGTTCTACATGTTTTTCATATGGTTCTTTGGGGTATTAAATGGTTATTTGGGATATTAAAGGGTTCTTAATTCATGTTTGAGTTGTTGAATCGTGGGGGATGGGATAAATTAGAAAAAATCTATCTTGCCATGATCTGGGTGTGGGGTAGTTATATATATATATATATATATCATGAGATATGTGTCCGCCCTGCCTACTTCCAAGTGACAGTCGTCCATCTCTCTGACTGACCAGACCAACGTCTTTTCAAACCAGTCGCCCGCAACTAACAGTGGTCGGTCTAAGGTAAGTGTTGGAAGCTTGGTTATTACAGGCAAATTATTGCTCTTTTTTATCATGTCCCAGCCATCTGTTATTCGAGTGTCTGAATAAGCTAGTCTACATCGAATATATAGTATTGGTGCCTGTAGCTTGGCTGGAAGCGCCATATTTCCCTCGTTTTGTGGATGCCGCATATATATATTTGTGGATTTTGAGGTAATGTTAGACTTTTAGTTTCAACAATCCGTAGGTTGTTGAAACCGTTATGAGTTCATTTCGCATGTATTTCGTTTTCTAACGGTAACTTGACCGTTAGTTAATTGCCTTTGCTTGTCTGCTAGCTAGTTGGCTGAAGCTAACGCTAGTTAGTTAGCTAGCTAACGTTAAATCGTTAGCCTAGATAGCGCGCGAAAATATATTTAACCTTAATTTAGCTAAGGTGCTATGCTTCTGCCTGTGAAATATATGTAAAATGTCATTAGCGTTAGCTGATTAACTAACACGGGTTAATGTTACTGTATGTCTAGATGTGAACTATCTAATTACTTTAGCTATCAAATATTCTTTATTAAAACTTTTTTACCAATTAAAAACTTATGCCATTGCTACATGCGCAGTTAACTCAATGCAATGTTATGTTAACTAGCTAACTGCCCACGATTGAAAACGCCACCATTTTGTGCTTGCTAGTCAACGGAGTATTTCCAATTGTTGAGAGCTAACGTTAAAAAATGCCCTTCGGTTAGAGCTGCTTCGGACTCCATGTTTGACTGTCAGCGGCCGACAGCTGAGCTGTCTGGTGGGGTAAGACAGTAAATAAAACGTGTGTTTGTAACTGTAGCTTACAAGTTAAGGTCAGAAAGCTGCGTTAGCAACTGATGAAGATCAGTCTTGACAATTTCAGGCACCGCTAGTGTTTTGGCTGACGGTAAACTAGCGATGTGAGTGAGTGGGTGAGCGAGAGAGAGGGAGCGGCGTTGTGGCTGCCGTCAGACAGAGCTGTGCTGATCCGCGCAGAGCTTAGTGAGCTGTAAAAACTGAAGGAAGCTGTATACTATGTGCCACATTTTGTGATTATATAAATTATGTGGACCTTAAAGCAATTCCTGAATGTTATGTAAATACACATTATTGATTGTAGTGACACAAACGAGCTTAAATGTATGATTTTTGACCAGCTGTGGAGGATGAAGCAGGACACTGTTTGAATAAGTTTCTCAAGGAGAGCACAGGACATGTAACTTATACAGCAGACACTTATGTTCCAGCAGGTAAAAATAATGGATTTAATGTTAGTTGACCTTAAAATGTTGGTGCTTGTATAGTCTATGATTTGTCAGTTTGAAGGCATATAAACCTGTTGATTTGTCTGTAGTGCAAAGATAGCTGTAGACATTTTCTGATAATAGTATACTTTTATCACACAGTATCTGTCAATACAAAGTTCAAATGAACACATGTGCTGCTAATGTCTGTGGCAAATGTATCTCTGCATTGAGAGCAGAGGATTGTGTTTTTGTGGATAGAAAGTTAAATTGGGTTTATTAATTGGGTATATCAAAATGGCCAGAAATAACCAATAAAATGATAGTAAATTATAATGCATAGAACAGACCTGGTGCCTTTACTGTGCACAGGTCAGGAAAAACTCTGTTATGAATGATGGATGCTGCTCACCCAGACTTGAGCATAAGCTGTTCGTTTTCAATGTCTTGTGCAATACAGTAATAGGTTAAGCACTATAGTCATACAGTCACTAATGACTAATGTGGACATATGTAGTCATTGTGATGGTAAAGACCTCATAACACTGATACATCGGCCATTCAAGGATGTTCAGCATTAAGCAAGGCAAGAATGTTAATTCCGAAACATGGACATGAGCCATGGCAGCACATACTGACTCCTAACATGATTTTGGTTCAATAATGTTTCTCTCTGCCATAGATAATGAAGTAGATGGGCCTACACTTCTCCAGATGTCTGAAAGAATGAGTGAGCGAATCTTTCCAAAAATGAAAGACCAAGTGAAGTTCCTGTCTGCTTTAGCGCAGCTGAAAGTGTGAGTTACGTTATACAGTGAAGCCATGTCATTTCAATTACAATACCAAGGATTTACTTGTCTTGTTTTTGGTAGTTTTCTTACATGTTGGCTTAAATTAAAATCTGATTTTCCTCCCGTTTAGCAGTGAAAGCGAAGCCCCTGTGAGTCAGAGAGCCCTAGCAGCCCAACCAATGATCAACTGCCAAGTCTGGTTTCCTCCAACAGTCTTCACGGCACTGACCAACAAGGGTGCAGCTCTGTTTGACCATTTGAGCCAAGACACAATGTAAGTTTGTGTTCCATAATAGAAGATGGCGACACACAGCAACACGTGTGATGCGTTACATCATGTAAGCAAACCATGTACCTATCAACTGTGAGCTCCAGATCAGACTGGAGACGTAACCTCAAAAAGAAAATGTCTAAGTAGTACTTGCTATCTGACATTTTCAAAGCATGTGACAGTAATATAAATAGAAACGGTGTCCGACAAAAGTTCAGCTCTAAACGGTGCACAGCGCAGTACCACTCGCGGCCATTTAGGACACAGTGTCATGGACATAATGAACAACAAAAGATATTTGAATAGTTTGAACTTATGTGTTTTTCAAGAATGAATATTCAAACATAATTGTTGGCCAATTTTTACAGCCGTAATGTACAGTAATGACATGTTATCTGCCTGTAAAACAAGTTTCCTTGTTAATCAAGTTTTAGGTCTGTATGCCATAGTGAAAACTATGCATCATGATGACAAACTACACATTTGCTGACCTTTAACTGCTCTTTCTGATCATTTGAGTTAGGTATCTCTGTTTATTGCGCTGATCTGGAATGTTAATCTTGTATAACGCCTTCTTCCTTTTGAAAACTTACAGGTATCCGTCTCATATACAGTATGAGCAGCTCTTTAAGTCTGTCCTGCTCAACTTCCCTTTTCTGAAGGAAAGTTATGGATCTGGATATGTAAGTATTTTCTCACTGACTAAAAGAGTAATGCTAAACTGAATTTTATGCTTCATGCTCCAGCTCAGTCCTAATTGTGTCATTGTTTATTACTTAGCAAACAGATGCAATGGATGCTGGGGACAACAAAAGAAGTACGAGCCACCATATTGCAACAATGAAGCAGGAGTGCCAAAAGATGAGGCCTAACTTGGTCATCATTCGCCAATGCCTCCAGAGAGTACAGAAGACACTATATTCAACAACACTCTACTGCAGAGGTCTTAAAAGAATTCACCTGCTTCTCTATTCCAATCTTGGTGAGTGTTTTATCTAATATATAACACGTGGTGCAGTGTTTCCCGCAGGATTTTGTGAGACTGGTGGGTGGACCTCAGACCCTGAAATGGACAGGCGCTGAACCAGAACTTAAGACAGAGGGCGATTTGGGAACAATTAGCTATTTGTTTGATGACGCATATGCCCCTGGGGGAAAGGGGCTATATTTCTGGGGTTCTAGTGTAGCCGGCTGATATCCAGACTTCCTTTTCAGTGCGCTGTTTATTTGTTTACAGTCTGATGAGCAACTTAAGATGTGAGACTGGAGTTGAGAAACGACATGTACAACAAGATGGTTTTAGAAGTAGCCAAATAATTTCAAACCAGTAAATAACTTTAAAACTATTAATCAACGTTAAATACTTTTTCTTGCCTCATTGATCCATTTTCCCTTTAAGCCTTTTAGAATATCCCATATACTGTGTTTTGTGTAGAAGTGCTCTAAAAAGTTGACTTGATGTTTACCTAGATACTGTTATCCAAATCAACACTCCTGAGGAAATTGGTATGATAGTCTCAAAACTTTGCAGAATCAGAATTGTGACATTTATTGAAACATGATTTGTCATTTGCAGGCCTGTTGGTGAATGCAGCCATACTCCTCCTACCATCGGTCTTCAAAGAAAATGCATCACAGCTCTTTGCAATAGATAAGGTTAGTCATTTGTGTTTGTGGGGGGCAACTTGAATTTGTTTATTTAAAAAAGGGAAATATATTTTCAGAAAATTAAGATAAAGTGCAATTTCAAAAATATGACATCTAATCTCAACAAACTAGCATTTTATGTGCAACTAAGCATATCAGAAAACTTTGATCTTTAAACATTACGGAATACAGCTTTAAGTTTCAAATGTTTTGTTTCAGGAACCACTAAGCCCAACACCCACAATTGTCCTGAGCAGCAGCGATGGCAAGCCCCTGAGTGACAGCACAGATGTTTTTGTAGCAGTGGATGGACAAAAAATGATGGTGGACAATGAAGACGCAGACGGTTCATTGGCCATGGGTGTTGTGTTGGCCCTCTATCATCTGAAAAAAACATTTCGTTTTTGGAGGCATTTATCCTGAAGCTGGACACACGGGTACCTGTAGCTGTGCAGAGAGTGGCAAATGCTCTGAACATTTCTTAGATAGGACACTGCAGCACATGGATTACATTGTATAGAGTTGATTTCTGACAATAAAGTGAAGTGCAGTACATCTACAGGTGTTTCTTTCATCCACAAATCAATTTGCCATCATTTCCGTGCATGTAAAAGATGATTTTATAGATCATCACAGAAAGGATCCTGGAATATGATCTCTAAAAAAGAGTGGGAACCCTGATTCCATTGTTATGCTGTTTAAATGTAAAAAAAAATCACGTTTTCCAAAACTCAGTTCTTTAAAGAACCATTTATTCCTTGGAAGAACCATTTTTAGCTAAAGGACCATTTGAAAAGGGTTCTTTATGGAACCATTTATGGTTCAAAGAACCAGAAATGGTGCTTCAAAGAACCATTTTTTGAAGGTTCTTCGAGGCACCTTTGTGGGTTCTTTAAAGAACTGTTTAAGGAAATGGTTCTTTAAAGAACCCTGGTCGGAAAGGTTCTTTGTGGAACCAAAAATGGTTCTTCTATGGCATCACTCCGAAGAACCATTTTCGGTTCCAGATGGCACCTTTATTTTTCTGTGTGTACTGGTGTGTGTCGTAGCTGTCTTTATACGTCCTCATTCATGATTTCGGGGATAACGTATGAAAGAATTTCGTGGGATATCTATCAACTACGCCGCATTATTTTTGTAGGTATTGCTATTGGATGAGACCACCCTTAATAAGTTAAATGTTCTGTGATCAATAACACATTCATTACATCTCATTCCTGCATTCATTCCTCTGTGTATGTCAACATATGGAGAGGAATGTATGCACAGAGAGAGTGCAAGATAACAGCACACACTAGTTTGCCGGCTGAACTCTTGGATTTTTGGTACAGCTTTGTTTATTGACTCGTATCACTCGGGTCACTCGAGTGATACGACCAGAACCCATTCGACCAATGAATACTGCTTTAAGCAAGAAATGCATGACGAAGGTAAGACCTGTGCTGTGTGTTTTATTGTCACACAAAAAAAGCGATTAGGGAGCAGGACATGATAGAGGGTCCAACTGACATTTTAATATTTACCTGCCCAAAACGAACAGATGTTTTTTCAAATGATTCTGCATCATTGTAAGCTAGGTGTTGGTAATGTTCTTCAAAAACATTTTTGTTATATTTGTTGAAATTCACACTCCATCCCGTCAGCATTTATTAAATCAAATGCTCTGACGAAGAGAAAAAGATCTGTCTGATCATTTCATTTGGCCCAAACGAAGGCGTCAGTGACTTTCTCGCTAGATTTAGCAACTTTGATTTCTCTGTAGGCGTGTTTGTGATTGAAATGAAAATGTTGTTTGTCCTAAATAACTTAACTAATTGTTTTACAAATTCATTTTCCATTCCACATTAAAATCTAATCACAACAGAACATTTGAAAAGTTTCCTCAGTAGAGTGCAGATCTCCACCAGGTGTGTCTGCATCTCTCCTCCCAAACAAAGAAGAGGTGAATCTCACTCAGTTGTCCATCTTTGGCTCCCTTACAGCCAAGATGGCAGTGAAGGAAACAACAGAACAGGGATTTATTCATCTCGTATGGTGCCTAACTTTTGTGGATCATAACATATCAGGTATGGAATTAATCTGCATATTCTCCGGTTCAAATTGAGACCAAACTTTTCTATGGATGTCAGTTTTTGAGCCACGACAAAGGTCAAAAGATGGCCTACAACAGACTAGGTGAGGCTTGTTTTGAGCCTGGTTGACAAATACTACAGCGGGAGCTGATGACAGCTAGCTGCAGTGGCTTGGAAAATAGCGACATGGGGCACTGAGTTGAATGGATTTACTGTTTATCAGACCACAAATGAGGCAAGAATTACACCCCGTAGTCCCTCCGCCTCACTCACCGCCGCCGGGAGGAGAACGGCGCTAGCTTTTGAGATGGACCGTTGTGGCTGTAGGACCTTAACCCAGTGTCTAGTGTCTAGCTCAGAGGTAGCCAACACGGTGCCCGCGGGGACCATGTGAGTCGCCCGCAAGGCATGTTCTAAAAATAGCACTAGGTCCCCATGGAGCTCCGTCTAAAAATTGTAGTTTCTGTTCTTTTTGAATCAAAAACGCTTGCATTCATGTAGATTTTAAAAGGAAGAGGCCGCCGCACCGCACTAGGTTTTCAGGTTCCGAATGGCGGGCGCTTCCCGTTGACACCGGACGCGCCGCGCCCGCCACGATCGCACACCGTCGTCAGGTCAGTAAGTCCTCGGAACAGGCCGCGGGGCAACAACTCGTGGGTGGCGGGGGTAGAGGCGAGGCAACGCAGTACGATCGAAAAGGCCCAGACTAGAGGTTTGAACGCAGGCGCCCAAAGACGCTCGCGTGACTCGGAGGGTTGGATACCCCCCACTCCGCTATAGACGAGACTTTTTACTAGTTTCTTCGTGGAGAAAAAGGTACCCAAAAAGAGCTGTGTCGGTGACTACAGACTACAGGCCGGCATGCAGGCTTCATTGCGCAATGCAAAGTTGACCCAGATTTCCCAAAATGTGGCGATTACTACTAATGTAATAGGATTAATTAAAAAATGTCAAAGAGTTGTTGTTTTTTATTCTACATAACTGATAATTTGTATAAACATGGGACAGAGTTCATGATTTGTTCAAACATGTTACGAAGGTAGTGGTTAGTACAAACGAGTCATGATGTGAAGATATGACAGTTGATGATTTCCTAAAAATTTTTAGAAGTGATAATTTTTACAACAATATAACAGGTGCGATTTTGAACAAAATACACAATCATTGTTAATAATTATTGTGAGGAATAATTAACATTGACATGTGATCAGTTTCTTCACATATATTATTATTATTAAAAGGTGATCTGTGCAACTTTGTTATTCAGGAAGTTTGTATCAAACAAGTAGCCCTTCGTACTACTCGGTACCCTTGATGTAGCTCTCAGTTTCAAAAAGGTTGGTGACCCCTGGTCTAGCTCCTAGTGGAGCTGCCGTCTGCTCTCCTCCCAGCTGTAGTCTCCTAGATGCCAAGGAATGAGCTCTGCTGTGATTGTAATGCTACACACATAATGAAGAAGCAAAAACGATAGATCCTGTGGGGAGAGATGAGGAGGGGGTCTGATTTCAGGGGGTTATATTCTGTTATGTCATGATGTAGATTAGTCCCAAACAGTCTCAGATATAGCCATAGGGCTGATTTCAAACAGTAGATGGTAGACAGTAGATTGAGCCATTTTCAACCAGGAAATTTGGAAAGAAATGTCAATATTAACACCAGCATCGATGTGTTTCATCACAGTACAGTCGTATCATTTAGTTTACAGCTTAAGAAACATAATTAAGTGTGCAGTTACTCTTACATGTGTCATGAAAGATCTGTATCACAATAAAAAACTGTTTATTCAGTTGTTAAAGACAAAAAGCTACATATATTGTTCTTTTAATTGTGACAGTAAATCCATGCATAAAATAATATTTCTGCATTTGATTTGTTTTTACTTAGACGTTAGAAATCTTCCATATAGCTATAGGGTCCTTACACAGTAATCTTATTTGTAGTTTTTGTCAGATAAGCTGTGTTACAGTGGTTAGCGATAGATAAAGACACACAATTGTGTAACTGGACTAAGTGGGTTGTTTAATATGGAGCTGCACAGCTCGAACTGACCTTGTTATCGACTAAGTCTTAATCTAAATGTTGATAAAGCAGGTGTTTGTGAAACAGTTTCTGACTGTTTGATCTCAGATAGTGAATTTAATGTCCCTTGGAAAGTTTGGCTCATGTAAAACACAGTGATAATATAAGTAATAACGTAAGTCATTTGGTTTTACAAGATGAAGCTAATAAAAAAGCTTGTTATGAGTAATTACTCATAACAAGCTTTATCAACATTTAGATTAAGACTTAGTCGATAACAAGGTCAGTTCGAGCTGTGCAGCTCCATATTAAACAACCCACTCAGTCCAGTTAATAATGCCACCGTGATCAAAACTCATTGGAATATTAAGAGAGCAGTATTAATGATTTATGATTCAAGGGCCATACTAGTTTTTCCATTTCAAAAGCATGTGAATGTGTTTTAGTTCATGTTTGATTTGTGTTCTTTTAAGTACAGTCTAAAAAAGTCAGCTTGAATGCACATCTATTGAGATCACTCTAAAATGAGGAACATAAAAAATACATCATAGTTGGAAAATGATTTGCAGTATTGTAAATTAGATCTGACTTGTAAAACTAATATGAACTCGTGTGGCAGAAAATGTCATAAAACAAAGATAGAAATGAATCCTCTGTACCAAATGTCATTGTTTTACATTGAAGGCTCGACTGAAATTTTCCAATGAAATGTGATATATATGTTTAAATGACTCTTGATTGATTATTACATTTCTTTAATGAATGTAACTTGACAGTCAATATTTTGTGAGATAAAAACGTGAATTTTTTCTATCTGCTTTCTTTCAATTTTGACTTTTGGACCTAACAACACTTTTTGGAAATGTTTGGATCAATCCTCCACAGCCACCACTGGAAACTCATTTTACAAATAGTATAATACTACAAATATTAGTGTAGCCTGATATTTATTTGCCACTGGGCACACATACCGACTTTAAACACATAAACGGACATGCAAATTAATTCATGTTCAATTATTTTTTATATAAGTATTTGAATGTCAACATTATGAATGAAACGTTGAACTATTTACTTTCGCCCTACTACCAAACTAATATGTAAACTAGGCTGGTGGAATTTTGTGATTCTGTCACAATATGTTGTCCTTTCATAGTCACTGTGTGCGTGCTCAGCGGAGCACCACCAGAGGAGTAGCATAAGGCCCAGTATTGAAATAGTGTGTGCATGCTTATGTGTTTGTTTGCTTATACATATGTGTGCGTGTGTGTGTTTCCAGGTGTATCTGAGCTATAACAATGTTTCTGCTCTGAAGATGTTGGCTGCTAGAAACAAGTGGCGACTCAGCTCTGAGAAAGACAAGGTATCCGCTGAAAGGTTTTGTGTTTTACGTATGAGAGTTTTTTTTCTCCCTCTCCTTCCTTCAGAGGATCGGTGGTTCGATCCCCGGCTCCGTTAGTCCATGTTTATGTGTCCTTGGGCGCTTAAGCCCAAATTGCCCCCTGTATGAATGGGTATGAATATTAGTCAGTCCTGATGGGCAGGTGGCAGCTTACATGGTAGCTGCTACCATCAGTGTGTGAATGGGTGAATGATGACAGTAATAGTGTAATGATGTGTAATGATGTTTTTGAGTGGTGGGAAGACTAGAAAGGTGCGATACAAGTACAAGTACAAGACCATTTACATTTACCATTACCATGAGGAGTTGGATGTTTACTGTGATGATTTGCTCCCAGGTTCGTCTTTACACCATGGAGCAGAAGTCCACGTTGAGTTTCAGGGTGGAGTCAAAGGTGGATGTTCCTGCTCACAGAGCTTTTTGTCTGCTGGCTGAGCTGAGCAACAGGCCGAGCTGGGACATACATTATCAGTAATACTTTAACACACACACACACACACACACACACACACACACACACAGTACATGCCTAAAAAGTAAATGAAGGGCACCTATTTAACCACCGGTTTGGTGAGTTGGGAAGTCATGAGACAGTAAAACTTGTCTGTTACTTTTGATTAAAAAGTAATGAAGGCAGTGCTGGGCAGTAGTAATACATGTCCTTAAACCAGTGGCATGCCGTGCATTTTATACCTGGGCCTTCACTGCTGTCCTGCAGCTGAAATACCACCTTATAACCACATGATGGCGCCACAGCTATTATTCATTTTTAAGGCTGTAACTATGTACATCTTCATATTAAACCGTTCGGTACGAGTCGTTTGAATAATGCTAGAGCATTTAGAAAATGCAAAAGCCTAAATTCAGGAAAATATAATGTTCTCAGCTGGTCTGGTTGTGAGATACACCATCATTCCTTAATGACAAGCCGCGACCCAAAGAGATTATCATAGGATTTTACTTTCACAACTTGAATGTTGAACGTACTGCTCTGCAATGTCTTTCCTCGTATCAGCCCCCTGTGTCATGGTGTGTGGTACATCTCACTCAGTCAGAATGCCCATATTTGATTGGCTGAGCTGCATCACGTGATGTGATTCACTACCCGACAGCCTCTGCTGTTAAGTTTCGTTTCACGATAGTCACGTGCTCGCCCACTGACCAATCACAGCACACTCTGCACCTCGCGGCAGAGCTACACATGGACACTGAGCGGCATGTAATGCTGACGTCATTATAGGCCGGCTAGCAGGTGCTGATACGTCAAAGACTACGCCCAACATGTCAAACTAAAGATCTGATTGGTTGAACACTATGACAATCAACAATATCGTCCCCATTCAGTTGAACTGCACTGGATGCACTTGAGACTCTGCAGGCCTCTGCCTCTGTTCTTACCTGGAGACACAGATGTGAAATCTGATTGGATAAAAGCTCTCCTTAAAACAAGCTGCACTGGAAGCAGAGCAACTGAGGAAGACAGTAGCTGTGCAATGAGAAAATAAGATAATGGGAAAAATATTTTTATAAATTATAATACATTTAGTGTATTTAATAAAAATTATTAAATTATAAAATAGATATAGCTTTGTGATTCTGTTTAGGCCAGCAGAGAAGGCCTTGCAGGCCCTGACGGCCCGCCACTGCCTTAAACTCATTAGGAAGCCATGTACCTAAGCCATGTAGGCACCATTTTATTATTAGTAACTTCTTCCTTTGTTTTCTACAGTGGGAATCTGTAGTCAGAGGCCACTAAACTGATTACTATTATTATAATTGTTATTATTATTATTTGTATTATTAAACAGACACGTTAAGGGACAGTTCACCCCAAACCTGTAGTGCTTTTAAAAGTTTCTCAATGCAAAATCCAGACCAGCGGGATTGACTCCATACCACTGCAACCTAACATGTGGTCTAAAATGCAATAAGTTACCACGTCACATCTCACAAAGACACACTGTTGCAGAAAAAGATCCTGAAGAAGTGAAGAATCCAGACAGTATATTTTTTGATTCAGTTCATAATCGGTGCATGAAGGGATGAACGTTGAACCATTATTTTTTTAGTTTAGTCTAGACTCTGGTTTCTGGCTGACAGTTATTAGAGTGTGGCCAAATAGTAATACAGGTCACAACAACAGTCCAATAACACGTGTCAATACAGCACCTTTAAAGTTTTAGGTAATAAAGCGTAGTGAAAAGTATTCTATGCATATTCAGTGCTTGGGTTGAGGTATGTTCTCCTATACTAATGTTAAAATAGGATGAGGTGGCTGAGCCAGGCCAAGTCATAGTTTGTGAGAAAAGCCCCTGTAATACCATTACACAGATTTAATAAACAAGATATAACATGTTAATTAGTGAGCTTCAGAAGTGCTGGTAGCTGGATTTTGTTACTTTTGGATACAGCCAGGCTAGAGTTTTCCCTCATTTCCAGACTTTATGCTAAGCTAAGCTAACTGGCCTCTGGCCGTTTATCGTATCGACATGAGAGTGGTATCAGTCTTCTCATCTAACTCTTAGCAATAATGTGAATAAATGCATTTCCCAAAATGTGGAACTATTCCTTTAACAATATAGTTCAAATTATTTTTCAAATAAACTACATTTCTACCAACATCCTCATCAGCGGTATCTCTCTGTGTCTTTTCCGGAATCAGGAAATGTGAGCTGATTCACCAGGTGGACGATGATGACTTCCTGTATCGAGTGGTGACCCCATCAGTGAGTCACGGTGCAGTAGGTTCCCAGACTTCAGCCCATCAGGGAGAAGGGATTCTGCAGGACTTCATCTTGTTGGCTTCCAAGAGGAAGCCGTGTGGCAGCGGGTCAGTGGAATGACAGGTCAAAGGTCACACACCTTCAGGTCAAAGGTCACACACCTTCAGGACTAAATGTCGTCTCTTGTTTTTTTTCCTCCTCAGAGATCCATACGTCATCGCACTGCGCTCAGTGTCCCTGCCCACTTACCCTCCCACTGAAGGATACAATAGAGGAGAGGTTCTGTGTGCTGGATTTACCATACTGGAGACCAGAAACAACATGTCACTGGTGAGACCAATAGTGATCATAGCTGATTAAACAGGTGTTTATTTACATATAATCTGAACAAACTTCACCATTTTCTTTTGTATCCTTTTCCAGATCAGTTACTATAACCAGGCGTCTCCAGAGGTTCTTCCCTACATCTCCACAGATATCGCCGGCCTCTCTTCCTCGTTCTACCACAACTTCTGCTCCTGCAGCCAATACTTGACCAGGAACAGACTGCAGTCCGCCTCTGAGGTGCAGACGGGCCAATACCAGGCCACGAATACAGACGGTCCCGCCTGTGATATTGAAGCTGACAATCTGTCAGTGGCCCTCCGCAGCACCCAGCTGTAGTCAGTCAGTGGTCCTCCCCAGGCCAGTTTACAAGCGTAGTGAGGTCCTGCTGCTGTTTATCCAACATGGTACTATTAACACTGTCAGTGTCCTCAGTGAACAAAAAGTGATATTTACATTTAAAAAAAGAATACTTTGTTGATTTTTGAAATAACTGTCAATGCTCACTCTAAATTCATTGTTCATTATTGTGACACAAATAAAACATTGTAATCTGTGTCACTAATGGTCAGATCATGTTTTTTTTTATGTTTGCAGATCTAAGTTAAATGTTCATTTGATTCTAAATCCAACCAAGTGTGAGGTTTATAGGAAATGCGGAGTGCATTTTTATAAACACTAACCGATGAGAGAACTGTCTACATTTGCTTAGCACAAAGTAACATCTGTCTTTTGATTAAAAAAACTTGTTTCATAAATATGAACAAATAAGCCAGTCCTTGAGCCAGTCCTGTCATCTAGTCTGCCTGAAGCAAGCCGCCGTACCACGAGGCGCCTCGCTCACCAATTCCATGCCTGAACTTACAGGGGTTCCCTCTGAATACTTGGACTTTAAGGAGGTTTTCAACAAATCCAAGGCCATGTCTCTGCCTCCCCCATGATTGTGCCATCGACCTCCATCCTGGGATGTTCCCACCTAAGGGGCGCCTTTATTCCCTGTCTGCTCCTGAAAGAGAGGTGATGGACAAGTATATTAAAGACTCCCTGGCTTCCGGTCTCATACGGCCCTCGTCCTCTCCCGCAGGTGCTGGATTTTTCTTCGTGGAGAAGAAGAACAAGACTCTCAGACCGTGCATCGACTACCGGGGCTTAAATGAGATCACGGTTAAGTGCACCACGTTCAGTCCGTGCTTCAACGCCTACTGGAGAACTCCCTGTTCGTGAAGGCGGAGAAGTGCGAGTTTCACGTTCCCACGGTTTCATTCCTGGGGTATATCGTTTCCCAGGGCAGCATCCAGATGGACCCCGCTAAGGTTGCTGCCGTCACTACCTGGCCTGTCCCAAACTCCGTCAAGCAGCTTCAATGTTTCCTGGGGTTTGCCAATTTCTATAGGAGGTTCATCAGGAATTATAGCGCTGTCGCTAGCTCACTGCCCTCACCTCCTCAAGGATTCCTTTCCTGTGGACTCCTGCAGCCGAAGAGGCCTTCCAGAATCTGAAGTCCAGGTTCACCTCAGCACCCATCCTCCAAGTCCCGGATCCGGACAGACAATTTGTGGTGGAGGTGGATGCCTCCGACATAGGGGTTGGGGGTGTCCTGTCCCAGCGCTCGGCCACTGACCAAAAGCTCCATCCCTGCGACTTTTTCTCGCGTCTGCTTTCCCCCGCCGAGAGAAGCTATGACATTGGCAACCGAGAACAACTAGCAGTGAAGCTGGCCCTGGAGGAGTGGTGTCGCTGGTTGGAGGGGACCAAGCTCCCATTCCTGGTTTGGACCGACCATAAGGCCCTCGAGTACATCCGCACGGCCAAGAGACTAAATTCCCGACAGGCCAGGTGGTCACTATTCTTCACACGGTTCCACTTCACGCTCTCCTATCGCCCTGGGTCCCGCAATGTCAAGCCGGATGCCCTTTCCCGTCAGTTCTAGGGGGAGGAGGAACTTACCTCTGGCCCCTCGTCCAGCTTCCCTGCCTCCTGCCAAGTAGCCGTCCTCACCTGGGAGATTGAGGAGTCAGTGAGGGCCGCAACTAGGGGTCAAGCCGGTCCCAGCGCGTGCCCTCCTAACCGCCTGTTCGTCCCTCAGGGCCTGCGGTCCAACATCCTCCAGTGGGCACACTCCTCGAGACTTACCTGCCACCCGGGCATCCAGAGGACCCAGGACGTTCTGCGGCAGCGTTTCTGGTGGGTCTTGCTCGACGAGGACACCAGGGAATTCGTCAACGCCTGCCCAGTGTGCAATCAACAAAAACCTTCCCACTCATCTCCCTGCATGAGGCTCCTTCCTCCGGGCCCAAGGAACCCTACCACCAGACCCCCTCCACACACTGTGGACTCTGACTCTGCGGCCTCGGAGGAGTTCTAACCCTCCTTCGGGCCCCCACCACCCTCCCTTGGGAGACGGTTATGTTTTGTTTTGGGTTTTTTGGGACTTCTGGAGCTGTCCCTTTGGGGGGGGGGGGGGCTCTGTCACAGCTCTGCCACCATTATCCTGTTTTTTCCATCTCTCACTCACCTAATCAGTTTATTCAGTGCACCTGCCAGTCACACCCACCTCATCACTCTCACCTGCTCACTCTGCTGCTTCCACTTTTTAAACCCCAGTCACACACACTCGCTGCCAGATCGTTCTCCGCTTCAATGCAAGACTTTCCAGCGTACCCCTTTGGACTGATTCCCCGTTACCGACCCTGCCTGTTTTGGAGTACCCCACCTTGCCTCTGTCCCGGTAACTCACTCAGCCTTCTGTCCCTGACCACGAGATCCTGCAGCTGAAACATGTTGCCGGTGAGAGGGAAGTCTGGGTCAGCCTGCTTGGCCTGCTGCCACCGCGACCCGACCCCGGATAAGCGGAGGAAAATGGATGGATGGATGGATGGATTTCAGTTGGGACCACAGTGGTGATATCATTAGTATACAGCCATACTGCCATCTCTGTGAGTGTGTAATGCTCATTGTAAAGAAAAACAAATAATAAGATGGAAAAAAGTTGGGGTCCAAAGTTTGATTTATTCTCTTATAAGCGAGACAGAGTTAAGGCATGAGTGTGTAGAGTTTGGTGGCATCATCTTTCGCTTGATCCAGACTCTTGTCGAACATTGTTGAAATCAGCTTAAAATTCAGCCATGACATTGAACATCTATAAGAAAAAACTTAGCTACGCTTTCTGTACTCCAACACGACAAACTCAACACCAGCACTCCTCTAGCATTGTCAGACACTTCTAATAGCAATCTGAGCCTGTCAGTGGCAACAACAAGCACTTTTAGTGGATGAACATTGACGGTGAGAAATTGCCAGAAGCATTACATTACACCCCGTTCAGCGTCTGCAGCTACCGCGTCCTCGCTCAATACAGGTCCAGTTTCAAAGACTACAGAATTTTCCCTTTAGAATTAAGAGGTAACACGAATATTTAAGTGATGTTATTCTGGGTTGGTCATATCCCTCCTCAGTTAGGATTCATCAGATATCACATACAGGTTTGTGTTTGCTCTCCCTGCACGCTGGCTCATGAGTCCTTTGAAGACCAAGAAAGCTCCAGCTCTACTTTTTGCGTCCTCCACTATGAGGTCATATCTGTCCATCATTCCCATTAGAGAGTCATGCCCCTCCTGTCCGCTTGGCAGTGATGCTGCGCTCAGGTGTAGAGCCACCCTCTGAGATAAGCCGGTCACTGGGATCAGAGGCTCTGTCAGGATGAGGGTGACGTAAGGAAACAGCCTCTCTACTGTGGATACAAACCCCTGGAAGAGAGAGGAGGAGGTAACAACGGAGGATCATCACTGCTGCACTGCAGTGGAACAGAGGCCCCTTAAAAACAAACTGAACCACAATCAGGTGAATGACTGATGAACTGAAAACCATGTAGATGTTTCCAGCTGTGCAGTTAAATAGATTTAATGTGCTTTTTTACTTCTGTCAGTCAGCCATTGGTTTCCATTTCACTACAGTACAGAAATCCTTATTAGGATCATTAGCAGACTTTTGAACCTGCCTGGGTTGTGTAATCCGTCAAACTGAAACTCAAGTCTGCATCAACTCTTGTTAGTGTTACGTTATCATGATCTACGTATATAAAACAATAATAAAGAAAAATAAAGTTTTGTTGGTTTGTTGGTTACTTTGACAAAATCCACTTTTTTGAAGAAAATATTTGAAACTATATTCACTTTCACAAAATCCACTTTTTTGAAGAAAATCTTTGAAAATATGTTTACTTTCATTAAATCCACTTTTTTGAAGAAAATCTCATAATGAAACAGTGAAATCAACTGTCCTGAGACACTTTTTGAATAAAATCTTTGAAACTATGTTTACTTTCACAAAATCAACTTTTGTCCTCCTCTGTGCCTGAAACGTCTTTTTAAAGCATAAAAAGTGAAAATGCATCTCTAGCCATTAAAGTGCTGACAGCTGCAGATATTCATGGAAATGACATCAGACTATAACACCAACTGTCCTGAGGCACTTATTTGAAGAAAATCTTTGAAAATATGTTTACTTTCACAAAATCAACTTTTGGCCTCCTCTGTGCCTGAAACGTCTTTTAAGACCATAAAAAGTGAAAATGCATCTCTAGCCAGTAAAGTGCTGAAAGCTGCAGATATTCATGAAAATGACATCAGACTGTGAAGTCAACTGTCCTGAGGCCCTTTGTTGAAGAAAATCTTTGAAACTATGTTCACTTTCACAAAATCCACTTTTTTGTAGAAAATCTTTGAAACTACGTTTACTTGCACAAAATCCACTTTTTTGAAGAAAATCTTTGAAACTATGTTCACTTTCACTCAATCTACTTTTTTGAGACTGTGAAATCAACTGTCCAAGGAACTTTTTTGAAGAAAATCTTTGAACTCATGTTTACTTTCACAAAATCTACTTTTGGTCTCCTCTCTGCATCAAACGTCTTTTAAGACAATAAAAAATGAAAATGCAGTCTAGGCAGTAAAATGCTGAAAGCTGCAGATATTCATGAAAATGACATCAGACTGTGAAATCATCTGTCCTGAGGCACTTATTTGAAGAAAATCTTTGAAATTATGTTTACTTTCACAAAATCAACTTTTGGCCTCCTCTGTGCCTAAACGTCTTTTAAAACCATAAAAAATAAAAATGCATCTCTAGCAGTAAAGTGCTGAAAGCTGCAGATATTCATGGAAATGACATCAGTCTATGAAACCAACTGTCCTGAGGCACTTATTTGAAGAAAATCTTTGAAATTATGTTTACTTTCACAAAATCAACATTTGGCCTCCTCTGTGCCTAAACGTCTTTTAAAACCATAAAAAATAAAAATGCATCTCTAGCAGTAAAGTGCTGAAAGCTGCAGATATTCATGAAAATGACATCAGACTGTGAAATCAACTGTCCTGAGGCCCTTTGTTGAAGAAAATCTTTGAAACTATGTTTACTTTCACAAAATCAACTTTTGGCCTCCTCTGTGCCTGAAATGTCTTTTTAGAGCATAAAAAAATGAAAATGCATCTCTAGCCAGTAAA